TAAATCTGTGTGACTTTGAATAAAATGAATCGCAACTGAAGAAATTGAGATCATTGACATTAGATTTTAAAAAACAAATTAATTTAATGATTTTGCTTTGATAAAAGAAAACTAATCAAATTACAAGATGCCTGAAACAAGTGTAATAATTTTTTACTACAATAATGTAATAATATTTTACTACACTAGTATTATTTTATTTTTATGCAGTTATATTGTGTATATTAATTTATTTCTATTTAATTCATTATCGAATAATAAATGTACATATTTTTGAAATATAAGTCAAAGAATTAACTAAGGATTATTTGGGTACATAATTTGGAATAAACCTTGCAAATTAAAAGAAAAGTCATGGTATGTTATTTACAGTTATCAATTTCTGGAACATGCAATTTGCAGCATATAATTTTGGTCATATATTTATATTACTAGCATTTCTATTTAACTTAAGTCCAAAAATCAGTCTTAATATTAAACTTACTTTATATATATATATTTATATCTTAATATTAAACTACTTATAAATTTAAATTTATTAATATGAATGATTCTTAAAGTTTAATATAACATGTATTGCATTGGTTCACTATAAATGGAAAGTCACTTTTCAGATTGCTGCCATAAAATATTATTGCCCTGTATTACATTTAAAGTAATTAAATAATGAAGAATCTGCATATATGTACCTCACATAGTGAGAAGAACGACGGTACCTAGAGCCATCAAATATTTAATAATGTAATCCTCCACCAGAACATATGTACCTGAAAGCCGGAATTTTGATTTTCTAATTTGTTCTATTATTTACTTCATATTTTATAAAACTTCAATGAAATTTTTATTAACAAACTCAACTATTTGAAAGCAAGCAGTGGGAATGTTGTTCAAAATCAAACATTTTTATCTCCAGTGTACAAGACTGTCATCATTTCGAAAAATGTAAGATACTTACCCTTTCAATTTTAACTAGCAAACTTGATTCTATAAAAGCAGTTACCTTTGGCAGTTGCCGCTGCCAAAAGTAAAATTCTTCTACCTTCCATGCACCAGCATGTTGCCATTCATTAAAGCTTAAGATACACTCAAATTTAATCTGGAAAGTTACTAAATATTAAACTAAGTGATTTAAATGCAATAAGCACAGTTTAATGAAATATTTTTTCTGCTTTTTAATGGGTTTGCTTTAAATAACATGTATTAAAATCATGAGATGTTTAATTAGAAATACTCAATATTTTTATGAAATGACACTAGCCTGACTTATTAAAATAATTATACACTTTTTCTTTTTTATGATAACTATTTTAGGTGGCTGGCTGCGCAAACGGCTAGTTTTTAAAGAAATAATATTGTGAATGTAAAAATATGTATAGCAAACTGTAACACTTTATTAGGAATTCTAATGATATGCTGCTTTTAAACATTTTGTGATTTTGCTGTTAAATTGAATTTCATTATGAGCTGAACATGATATTTAATAAATAAACTTAGATAAAAAAAATAATAATGAAATGACAGAAAAAAAAAATTGTTAGCCATCTTACCAAGAAAACTGAATATTGATATGATTAACTGAGAAAAGACTGAATAAATATAAAAATGTATGCGAAAACTTAACACTGCATCAGGAATTCTAAACATATGCTGCTATTCAGCTTTTAAACATATTTTGATATTTGGTATTGAAATATATGGGGCATAAGTATGAAGAAAGCTACGCTTAATAATAAAGCTAAAAAGAAAAGAGCAGGCTGGTGAGAGTGGAAGCTTAGAAAGTGCATAAAAAACCTTAGCAAATGCTTTTAAGTGGCAGTTTAAATCTAAAACCTTTCAGATTTTTTCTTTCGCCCTTTTTTCTTTCTGAGCATTGTCAATTTATTAGTGGGGCCTCAAGAAAATTTTTTGCATAGGGCTTCAGGAGTTCTTGTTACTACACTGACTGGAAGATTGCATATTAGTAGAAAAGAATCGTAAGATATGTTAAAGTTTCTAAAGTTTTAAGGAATAGGAATTATAAACACTTGATTATGTGGGTTTGACAGAATGTTGGAAAACTCTTTTTTTTTTTTTAATCGAATGGTGAGCACTTGCCTATTTGACACTCGCCACTCCTAAAGGCAGAAGTGGTGGCTATTGCCTCCTAGGAAGGGATGGACAGTTACAACCATGCGTTCTCCAGGATTCCAACCTAGGCTCTTCGGCATCACACTCGGCGTCCCTAACTACTATACAGTCTGGGAGGCAATAGTGGAAAACTGATTCATATTAGTATGATTATCATATTTTAGGAATAAGAATCAAAGTCCATCGTTCGGGGTAACATATTTTAAAAATGAGAATTCAGGACTATAAAGGGGCTAATGATAATATGGTTTGGAAAAGAATCCAAGATAAATGCACGTTTCCTCTGCCACTTGAAAAATTTTTATGAATGTGCCTGTCCAAGACACTGTCTGAAACATTAGCATTAGTGATTAAAATGTCTACAACATACATGTTATACAAGGCCTATATGACGGCTGAAAAGTTGGTATGATGGAATAAAAGGAAATCGTATAACAATAATAAAATATTCAAGATATTGAAAAGTAGACTGCATATATTTTGCAGCATATTTTCTTAGAACATTATGTCGATTCCTATTACCCCTTTGCATATTTTTCATCAAACTGTATTTTCCTTAGAAACTCTTTGCTGGATTTTTATAAAAATCCATATGAAAATGTGACTGACATAATGCGTAATGTGTTAAATTAGCATTTATAAAGAACTTGAAGGCAATGAATACAGAGAGCTAGGATGTCTAATATGAGTAACAGTAAAATCAAATAAGGTGTCTTTATGCGATAACAACTTTAGGAAATTATTTCTGGATCAGAAATTAAATCAGCTGCTGAATCCAGATTTAAAAGAAAAGTTATGTGGTAGCTCTTTGGATGCATTTCAAAAAAATTAATTTTCTGTGAAAGTACTTTATAAAAAATGATATTAAGAATGATTGTTTGAAATTGAAAGAAATCATGGGATGTAACATGACTGTAAAGCTCTTCTCCCTCCATTCCTACTTTAATTTCTTTCCTAATAATTTCACAGCCATGCTTGAGAAGCATGGTAGATGTGTTCAGTAGAATATTTCAGGCACTGAGGGAAAAAACTGCTCACCTTTAACTAGTCAGATGCCGTTTCAGAGATTATTTCATTTATGAATGTTGCACATCTCTTAATGTATCAGTAATGAAAAATAAATGTTTAAGTTCACTTTATGCCCAGTTGTAAAAAATTTTATCAATACTCCGTTTTCCAGAAATTTTTATCAACAGAGGAGTCTCACATATGGCAATTATCCTTTGTACCAAAAGTGCGCATCATGGTTAACTCAAGTGGAGTCCCATTATGCTTGTTGAATTTTACAGAACCTGCAAGAGATATTTTCCTTTGGCAAACTGCAGCAGGGAGTCATATACACACATACTGGCCAATGAATTAAAAACCTATGAGATTTTCATTTGGATGCATGCTAGGGATGAAGTATGCAAATTTTTTTATGACGTGAGTTACACATGGGTAGATTGCTAGTAATAAGTAAGGTGTAAGAGTGGTTTTCACGATGAATAAGTAAAATGAGAAAAACGATAGATCTTTCACCGTTTGAGAAAGGACTTATTCTTGGTGCCTGTTTAGCAGGGGTCTTGATTTCAAAGATAGGAAATCTTACTGGGTTCTTAAAAAAACATCCTTATCAAAGGTTTTCAAAAGTTGAAATCAGAGCCCACAGTCCTTCTCTAGAAAACGTAACTGCAGTTCGAGCACAGTTTTCCAAGAGAATATTTGGCGTTGTCTCTGATAAATTGTATGGCAGAACAGGGACTACTGTGCTTCAACTAACACAGATCATCAACCAAGTCTCTTCTCAATAGATTTCAGCTCGAACCATGCTCAGAAATTTGCAGTGGATAGGAATGCATAGTCATGTGCCTGTGAGAAAACCAGTTGTTTCTGCATGACATGCAAGAATATGTTTGTAGTGGTGTTGGTAAAGAAGGCACTGGACATATGAGTATTGAAAATGGATAATGTCATCAGATGAATCTTGGTGCACCTTATTTTGTAGTGATGAAAGACTTTGAATTTGGCAAGAACTCCATGAGGCCAATCTTGCCTTACTTCCAAGGTCTAGTGAGAGTATCATGATATGGGGCATGTTCTGCTGGCATGAAATTGGTGCTCTGATGTTCCTCGAGGGTAAACAAAGAGCCATGAGATACCTAGATATACTAGCAGATCACGTGCATCCTCCAATGTTGTATTTTTACCCTGATGGTGACAGATACTTCGTGGATGATAATGCAACTATGCATCATGCCAGAAGTTCAAAATTGATTCGCTGAACATCTGTCTGACTTCAAACACCTACCCTGGCCACCGCATAGCTGAGATCTTAATCTCGTAGAAAATCTGTGGAATATGGTGGAAAGACGCATCCGACAGCATTCTTCTCTTCCATCTAATTTACAAGATCTAAAAAGCTGCATGGCTAATGCATGATATTCTCTGTATGTGAATGCACTCCAGAAGCATGTAGACTCATTGCCCAAATGAATCAGAGTAGTTATCTGTGCAAAAGATGGTCCAGTAAAGTACTCATCTTGAGTTTCTAAGTCATTGGCCAGTGTGTGTACTTCCATCTTGCATATGATTTCTTTTCTCAATATCCATATACTCATATAAACTTCAACTGTGTCACAAAAGCTAATTTAATGATAGGAAAATTCCATTACATATTTGAATGCAGCAACAGATATATTGTTCTTGTAAGTTATATTGATTTGCATAAGATACAGAAAGTAAAAATTTATTATTCAGTTGCATTACTTTTTAAAAATGTTTATTTTTTTAAAAAACTTTACCTTCAAAGAAAATTTTGCATTACAAAGCTCTCTTAATCTGTTGTATAATAGTATTTTATATTATTCTTTTTATTTTGTCTGTTTTTTAAGGAAAAACTGAAGATTTTAGAAACATACTTGGACCAGTTGCATGAACAAAATGAAATTTTGGTATCAACAATGGTAGAACTGGAAAAAGAAGCTGAACAAAGAGTCAGACAAATGGAAAAGCGATTAAAGTCCAGCGCTAAATCAACAATGGTAAATTTAATTTTTAAGTGTGTGTAATATTTTATTGTAATAAAATTGTGTTTATTTGGAGATTTATTGTTAGTTCATTTATATCTGTGCAAAGTATTTTAGATTTGGCTGAATTTGTTCAGCATGGCCCCAAAATATGCAGTTATCTTAAGGGGAAAAAATTGTTTAAAAACATTCAAAAGCTGAGTTAATCAGAATGTCATGAAACATATCAAGTTTTAATCACCAAGAAAGGGTTCTATCATGAGGCACTTAGGCTTACAGCCTTTATCCCCACATCATCAGAGATTTACTTATAGAGTCAAATACCAAAAATTTGCCAACTCCTGAAATCCGCGTTGCCTCTCAAAATATAAACTTTCAGTTTATAGGTTTCGGAAACCGCAACATGGAGTGCAAAATATCGAAAAAAAAAAATACTTACCGGATAATAACATCATAATTACCAAATAAAATGAGTCATAATGAAAACACCAAATTATTGACATCAAGATAAAAGTTTTTTCCCCTTCAGTCTGCATAGAGGTAAAAAAGCACATGATTCACTTAACTCTTCCTTCAAGTACATAATTCACGTTGTTGTACTTTCTGAGTTTTGTTATATCACAAGATTGTTTAGTGCTGCCCCCTTTTCTTTTTAATCCAGATATTTTGTGGATAAATTAAGAATATTTTAAATTTCAGCACTTTTTAATACAAGGACAGGTAAGAAATGCACTCATTTTACTGATTGCAACGTTGAAAAACGTAATCATGTTGCATTGACGGTAATACAAAAAGTGGATATTCTGCAAAAGATGAAAGGCAGGGGCTACTCCTCGGTTTATAGCAGAATCATATGGAATTGTGACATGGACCGTGTATGATATACAGAAAAATAAAGGAAAGCATTTGAAAATTTTACAGCAGCAATGATTCTAATACCAGAGTCCGAAACTGGAAATCTTTACATGAGGCAAAATCGGCAGACCTCGATACAGTCTCTTACCAGTGTTTTCGGCAGCAGCCTGAGTGATGGGGTACCAATTTCAGGACTGCTCCTGAGAGAAAAGGAGAAGCAGATTCATGCTGATTTAAAAATAGAGGAGCCTATATATAATCAATTTATATGTGTAATAATAATTTAATGCATATAATAAATTATTGTAATTATGCATATAATAATTAAATGCATCTAATACACCTTATTTATTTTGCACTTTTAGCCTGAATATTATGATTTATTTTTTCTGTCCCGAAAACCGCAAAATCCTAAAATCCGCACAACCTCTGGTCCCAAGCTTTGCGAATTTCTGGACTTCTACTGTATCACCAAAAAGAGGGTTCTGCAAAGAGGTAAAATTTAGGGTTGAGCTGTCAAAATAACAAAAGGTAAACTGCCTTCGCTGTGACAAAAAAAGGAAAAAACACTGAAGGGCTTAATTTAATAATTTTGAGATTGAGTAAAGGGCCAGAATTAATTTTGAAGGGGTTACATCATGAATTTTGGAAAGATTTGATATTTCCTTGATCAATGGTCTTGTGGTGTTAACAATACTAGAACAGAAGCACTCGCAAAAGATCATTCACATCGCAAGTGCTTCGCGTCTGGGGGGGAGAAGCGGGAACTCGTTAGGGGAGTTAGATTTAAAGAAACAGGGCCAGAACTGCCTCTGAGGAGAAACATTACATAACTAAAATAATAGCTTTAAGTCTTTTTATCAATATTAAATTAGTATATATATTCTCTTAAAGAGAAATGCATAAAATGAAAGTAATAGGAGGAAGAAAAAAACTTTCTATGTAATCCTTGTTAGTGATGGGTCCACTTTTCATGCAGATGGGAAAATGAACACTTACAACAACAGAATTTGGAAAACCAAAAATTAGTGATTGTAAAATATTTTTGTGTCATATCAAAGGTTGATCTTTTCTTTGTCATGAATAAAGCATATGCTTAAAGTCTGCTGTAGATGTTTAAACCTTATTGTGTACCTGTTGCAGACTGAAGTTAATTAAAGCTGGGTTAGAGAGACATCAGCATCTAGAATGTATAAAAATCAAAGTTAGTCTTTAGTTTGGAAATGTGAGAGAACATTTTGGTTTCATGTATGTCCTTGTATGTGTTTCATATGCTTCAATGAAGTGTTTCCATGTTTTCGGAATAACTTTTGTTTTTCTGGGTTTTCAAAGCACCATGGATTGGGTAAATGTGAACACATAATTCAAATTACGGCTTTTCTTTCGCAGCATAAAATGTGGTTCTGTTGGTGTGGGATAGGTAGTTTTGAATTATTTCCTGGAGATGGATTTAACTGAATTAAATGCACAGTACAAGGGACTGAGAATGTCTTTACTCTCAGCCTGAAGAAAACTGAAAATGAGCTAGTTAACTAAGTTACAGATATATATGAAGTTTCAGTTTTTAAAGCTGAAACTTATCAGTAAGTTTCAGAGGCTTGAAGGTTGTCAGTCATTAATTACTGAAAGTTTCCTGAAGACTGAAGATGATAGGAAACTGTACGCTGATGATTTTGAAAAAGCTGCAACCTGCAGAGACAGACATGTAGAAATTTGCGCTAAAGTGGAAAAGGGATTACAAGAAGCTTCTGCAGCTAGAAATGAAAAAAGAAAATTTAAATTACCCAAAACTGAGCTGAAGAAATTTTTGAGTTGACCCAAAGTATTACTTGTCTTTCTGGAGCTTATTTCAGAAGATTCATGAAGACAAGTCTGTACCTGATGAAGATAAGATGCAATATCTTGTGCAATCTATGGAGCTAAAATTGAGAGCTGCATGTCTAACTCATTTTTCCAGCAACAGCGAAGATTATTCAAATGTCATTGAACAGTTAAAAGAATGATTTGGAATAGATGAATTTGTGTTGATTTGCTTGCCCATATTTATATTTATGACTTATTAAGTATGTTTTTGAAGAATGCCATGACTGGACCGAGTCCAGTTTGGCAGCCTTATATGATGGATGAGCTGGAAGAGCTTAGAGAAGAGTGCAAGAAATGTTTGCGGATTTTCTAATTCCATTAGTAGAAAGCTGCTTCATGGCAGCAGTTCTGCTTACCTGGGAAAGAAGGAGAAATTGAGTCAAGTGATTCCAGGAATTCCTGTACTTTACAATAGCTGATGAATTTTCTTTACCAAGAAGTTCAAGGTGAAAAAATGGTGTCATTAGCAAGAACTGGGTTTAAGTCTCACCTTAATTTTAAAAAGAGTTTTGCACGTAAAAAGGCAAAGGAAGATGAACCTTCGATGGCCTCTGCATTGGTAAGCCTTGATAAAAATGCAGGTAAGCCACTCAATAGTTGTGAACTGAATGGAATGTTGTGAACTGAAATGCATTAACCTTTTAACTGTCATACCCGAAATAATCTCGGGCACAGCACTGGTATTCCAAAATGTCACGCCTGAATATTAATCGGGCTAATTTTTTTTTTGAGTGCATTATATTTTTATACCCGAATATATATAGTGAGAAGTATTATTTCGGCTTCAGTTCAACAGATGGCAGTATTTTACTGGTTTCAAAGGATAGAGGTTAAAGTTCAAAGTGTGCGGCATTTTTTTGATTTTTTGACTGTGAGGCAAGCATTTCATTTTTGAAATAAAAAAAAATGATAATTTATGCACACAAACCATCAAAATAACTTGACAGCTAAAAGGTTAAGCTGGGGTAGAGTGACGTTAGCTTCTAGAATGTATGAGCTCAGTAAAGTGTTTTCTTGTTTTTGGAATGTCTTTCTGGATTTTCAAAGCACCCTGCATCTTGTAGATGTGAAGCCATGAATCATTATGACTTTGCTTTCTCAACAGTGCCTAAACTTGGTGCAAAGTGACGTGATAATGCAATTAAACATTGCAGTCACAATGGATATTTATCTTTCTAGCAAGATGAAGCACCTTCTTAGACGTAAGATTGCCTTTCACCCTCTATTTTACAAGTGGATGATTTGACTAAGGGGCATCTGTAACATGGTCACTGCTTTCTGTTAGCTGTAGAATGTCAGACTTTCTTTTGTGAGGCTTTACAGAAGATCAAGTGGGTATACCAGCCATTGTTGATTTACTGCTATACAAAATTACAGTCAGATATGCTTTGCTTTATATAGAAGCAAGCTAGTTTCACTTAGGTTTTTTTTTTTTTTTTTTTTTTTTTTTAATGACAAGAGGCACTTGCACTGAAACTTCAAAGCAATATTTTCTCATTTACATAATAAAATTTCCTGACATTTGCTATTTATTTTCTGTTCTCTTGTAAATTTATATATCCACTTATGAAATGCATTGTTTGCAATATAGTCAACAATACTATTTAACAGCCAAAAGATTTTCTTATATTATTAACAATCATATGTGAGTTGACAGTTGAAAAACATTGTGATATGCAATCATGTTTCTTTGTATAGACAAACTTTTATCACATATGTGGGAAAGTGCATTTCATAGACTATTTAACACATTGCTAGAGAACTTATTTAATTTAGTAATCACCTTAAGAGATTAAACTACATGTTTTATTTTTCATTTATTTTAAATTCTTTGTCCTTAACCATCTGTTGCTTGTTTTTATTTGCATTTATTTCGACTGAACAGTCAAAACTGGTGTTTACTTGCAATGTCTTTTAAAAAGACATGCATGAGCAATCATTACAGTATTGTTTAGTAAATTTAATTATTTACATATAATATAAAAGTTAATGTAATTTTGTTTATATTAATTATGCCCTTTCTTCGGTCATTATAGTTTTGAATGTGAATCTTAATTAAAATAGATTTAATTATTTCTAATTTCTAAAATCTGAAATCGTATTTGTCTTGGTGTGTTTTGTATGAAATAATTGCTTATGTGAAGTCATTCCAGGTTGCATAATCATACTGCACTGCAGTGCTTTTAATAATGAAAACTGATGATGACTGCAATGATCACTTTGCTCTTAATAATGAAAATTTAATTTATTAATAAAACAAAAATAATTCTGTATCTCCATTGAGTATATTTACTTGT